GGTGGGATTCGGGTGGGCTTGGAAGTTGGAAGAAGAGGTGAGGCATTCACATTCTCAGGTGGACGCTGGAATCCAGTGTGTGGGTTTTCCTGGGAAACTGCCGAGTAGCAGCTGTGAAGCCCACAGCCAGGGGGTAAAAGACACTTCCTTATCATTGAGAAGCTGGGAAGCGAGCATGTGTTAGGCAGTCATGGAGCCGTGCAGGTCCGAAAATGTGGGTCCACATGAAGCGTAAGGGAACGTGAGCTGTAAAAATATTGTGGTTTCTGGGGCCCTCCAGATCTGCCCCTTGGGAGTGAATTATTTCAGTCAATAAGGGTCTGGTCATTTCTGAGTAGATCGAAAATGCAGTTTTAAGACTGGGAGGCGGAAGAAGAGCAGGGCCTTCTCCCATATCCCGTGCTCCTCTTTGAGGGGTGCAGGTGCAGCTGCTGGGGCGTTCCGTCCTTGATGCGGTTCCTGCGGTGCCCGCCCGCCAGGCTCCTCCCAGAGCAGGGTATGGAAGTCTGAGTGTCTCTGAGCGTAGGGCTGGGTCCTTTGGTGAGGTCTGGAGGCCTGCCCTGCTGGTCTGGGGATGTTGCAGTCTCCTCTCGGTACCTCAGGCTTTCGTTCCATCCTCCCCCTCTTCCCTGGAACAGAAAATTGATGTCCGTTTAACTACTTGGCAGCCTCTTAGCCTGTGCTCCCTTTTAACCAACAAAAATCTTAGGCTGAAATTTGAAAACTATTCATGCCAAAGAAAAGAATTAATCAGGATTTGCTTTTTTAAACTACAAATGCTACCCTGCCAGGATTCTGACATCCTCCATGTCCCCTTGGGAACTGGCCTGGCCCTTCCATAGGCGCTCGGCCGTCCCGAAGGAGCTCTGTTCTTGCCAGAGATCTTGGTTGGAGTCAGTAGACCTGACAGAGATCCCTTAGCCACCTTGAACTGAGCTTCCTGTAGCTTCATTCCTTACAATAACCCTAGCATCTGCCCTTCTCATGGGATGGAGCACATACTCGTGTCGTTGGGGCTCATCCTGTATCTCATGGAGTTGCTTTAGGAGATCAGAAGCGTGCTTCCTCCAGTTGACATTTCATCCATTCTTATTTTTCGAAGAGGTGTTTCCAGTCATAGAATGTAAGCTCCAGGAAGTCGGGGATTTGCGTCCAACCAGGTCACTGCTGCATCTCTGGGTTCTAGAACCGTATCTGGCACCTGAAACTTTTGTGGAATGAACAGAATCAAAACACACTCACAGGCAAAGCAGCTGTTTAAGTTGCCAAAAAGTTGGGCAGGCATTGTGTTTAATAAATGGCAAAACATTTTTAGTGCTTCATCAGTGTACCTAGTGAAAAGATCTGATTCCTTCTGATGTCTAAACTGCTCAGTGGAAACATGTTTGCTGCTGTTTTCATGTTATTTTGCGTACACACGCCCTGTCTGGATGCTGGGTGTCCCACCGTTACACAGAGCCCAGCTCGTCCCGGGGTGCTGTTGAAATGCTGCTTGCCATATTTATGAAATACATGAAATCGTGTCCTTAAAGTGTGAAGTTTATGTAGCATTCTCATTACTCTGTTTTTTTAAGAAGTGAGTTGTCAAATCTGTAGAAATAGAATAAATCGGCTAGAACATTCTTGGATTAAAGAAAAGCAGTACTAATGAATGTATTTGCTATGCATTCCAATCCCATTAATCCTGATGAGTTCAGCCTGGATTAATGTATGGCATGCTTTGCTTTTCTTCAGGACTTCTGAGTTGGGCATTAACTGCTTGTATACGGTGACAGGAGAATGTGAGCAGAGTAGGCTGCTTCATCACGCCCAAAGAAGCAGGAGAGCAGCTTTCGTGACATGAGCTTGTATCTAGCTTGGCTGTGTTCACTTGACTGGACGGCCCATAAAGCAGGGGTTCTCAAACTGCTTGGTCTCAGAACCCCCTTGTGCTCTGTAATTACAGACTACTGAGAACTTGAAGGAGCTTTGCTTATGTGGGCTGTATGTGTCAGTGTTGATCATATTACAAATCTAGAATTTAGAACAACTGCAAATATTTATGTACTAATCCATCTAAAAATAACAGTAAATCATTTTATGTTAACAACATTTTTATGAAAAATAACTAGTTTCCACAACAACAAAAAAATAGTAAGAGTAGAGTTGTTTTACATATTTACAAATCTCTTTAATGTTTCAGCTTAATAGAAGGCATCTTGGTTCTTATGTCTGATTATGAATCGGTCAGTTTTGATGTGTTGTTTTAGTTGAAGTATATAAAGAAACTATGGCCTCAGATAGGTCCTTGGAAAAGGAAGAGGACTTCAGTAGCCTTTTTGGATAATTATGGGTATTCTTTTTTGATACTGCACAAAAACTTGAAAGGAGGTAGTTGGTTCCACAGTGGAAACTGAAACCCTATTGACGGACTTTTTGTACTTGAAAATGGGTCTGTTTTGTACTTTTTTAAAAAATTCCATTTTGTACTTTGAATCAATCATTTGTCCATGTATGATTCTGTTTCAGTGAATTACTGTCTTACTGAATTACGCAGATCTTCCAGATGTTGACAGATTTTATCATGTAACTGTTTTCTAAAAATCACATTTGTTAATATCACCACCAGTGTCATCTGAAAACTCTTTAAGTTTTGGGAAACTTTCGAGTTCTGGGTGACGGATGCAAGTTTTCCAAACTTCTAAGTTTTTTTTTGTTTGAAAGCTCAACTTTATCATTGGCACCAAACATTATCAGTTGTTTTTCTTCTAGATTCTCCTCCTTTTATTCCAGAGTTTTCTTCCTAAGAGTGAGATCCGATCATGGCGTTTGGCTGTCTCTTCCTTCCCCAAAGAATAAAGTGCAGTTTTCTTGGCTTGGCCACAAGGGCTTGGATGACTTTGCCCCCATCTCCCAGAGCTTTGACAGTTTCCAGCCTTGTTTCCAGCCTCTACAGTTTTGTTTTGTTTTGTTTTTTCATTGGCTTAAAACCACACATATTTATTGTCTTGCAGTTCTGGATGGAGGTCAGAAGTCCGAAAGAGGTCTCACCAGGCTCAAGTCAGGGTGTTGGCAGGGATGTGCTCCATTCTGAAGACTCTTGAGAGAGAATCTGGTTCTTTGTCCTTCCCAGCTTCCAGAGGCTGCCTGCCTTCCTTGGCTCCTGGTCCCCTGACATATTCAAAGCCAGTAATGGCTGATGGGGTCTCTCTCACATTGCATCCCTCTGACACTGACTCTCCTGCCTCTTCCATCTTATAGGGACCCTCGTTGATGCCATCAGACTTGCCACAGGAAAATCTTCATATCTCAAGGTCAGCTGATTAGCATCTTTATTCCTTTGGCAACCTTAATTCCTCCTTGCCATGTAACCTAACATATTCACAAGTTCCTGGAATTGGGATTTGGACTTATTCTGGCTGTCACATTCAGGCCTCTCCATTTTCACATTCAGTTCCTACTCTGTATATGTTGGCTAGACTCATCCTCTAAATATCACTTCATTGCATAAGCCTTTTCTCAATCTCCAGGTGGAGCCAACTACTTTCTTTTCTGCGGAGATACTCGCATATGAGCCACACCCTCTTAGTGCCCTTGTTGCAGTAATACATCTGTATGTCTGTCTCCCCGTTGGGCTGTGGCCCTCTCAGTGTCCTTGTGGTGCTTGGCACATGATAGAGAACGAGCAATATGTTGTTAATTTTGGACATTTGGTCCTGGGCTGTGTTTGAGATGCTATTGAATGAGTGTTCAATTTCTTTGGTGTGATGACGGCATTACAGTTCTATAGAAGAGTGTCATTTTTAGGAGTTACCAAAATACTTAGAGGTCAAGTGTCATGATAACTATTATAGCTCACTCTCAAGTGGCTTGTGAGAACAGTTTATATTTATATAAAGATAAAGCAGATACGGTAAGTGTTAAATATTGGTGTAAATGTAGATGAAGACCACGTAAATGTTCATTTAACCTTTCTGTAGGTTTGAGGGGGACATTTTCAAAACAGAAAGGGGCAAAGAATGAAGTATTAATGTAGAATGAATGTGCGGGTCAGGATGGAGTCGGATTTCAGTTGTGGGAAATCCGGTCTGCTGCTGTTGAAGTTCTGAAACTCTCAGTGTTGATTAGCATCTTCATGTGCCTCTTTGGCATAATGATAATCCTCTCTGGGTTCACATTAGTGCAGATCATATTCAGGAGGCTTAATTAGACCTCTCCAGCTCCTGGGTGAGCATGTGAGTGTGTGCAAAGTAGAAATGGTAAGATGGAGGAAACAAAGGACTTTATATGCTGCTCCTCGAGGAGCTTCTTCCTGGAATGCCCTCTGCGAAGGTGACTGTCCCGCTTGCATACAGTGGTGACTCGAGTCACTCGATCCCTTCTGGGACTGCAGGCCACTCCCCTAGACTCATCACGAGAGCTCCCATCCTACATTTAGAGCACCCCGGCCCATCCTGATGTGGACAGGGCAGGAGTATACTTGTGCCCATCTGACAGCTGGTCCAGGAGAGTCCTTTGCAAAATGGCCATTCACAGATGGTGTCCGACTATTTCCTGAAGGACCCAGCTAAGGCTGTCTGCCTCTGCTGGTCTCAGTTCTCAATGCCATTGTCAGAGGGGGGATTCACTCCCCTCACGGCTCCTAGCGAGGGCCTCAGAGCTTTTACTCACCTACCTCTGTGTCCTAGATCTGTGGAAGTAGCCTGTCTGGGTGATGCTTTGATACTATTCTGGTTTGAGATAGGATCATCATTGATGGAGGTAACGTGGTAGGATCAATGGCTTGAAGGCCATCTCGTCCAGCTTCCTGTCTTGTTCCCTGCCCAGTGGTGCTTCGCTGCATGCCTGCTCAGTCCCTGTGGTCGGACCCTCACCTTCCCAGCCACTCACGCCATTCGTCTTCGGAAGGTGGGGTGTACTTCCTGACACTGAGCTGGATGGAATCATCCCTCCCTGTCGCAGCCACAGGTGTGGAGGTTCTGGGAACCAAACTGATGGGGCCTAATGTCTCTTCTTTGTTTTCCAGGAGCCAGAAGCTCCCATCTCGTGCCTCCTGAGACGTCTTTGTTCCAGGACCCAGGTGATCCTCAGGTGACGAGGTGACGAGTTCTCACGTCCCATTCCAGGTACAGTCTGCCCACCTGCACCCCAGCAGGATGGTCTCCTGGGTGCTAGAATGTATTGTCCGTTTAGTCCTTCTGTTGGCTGTTGACTTGATAGGTTAATGCACAGCTCCACCCTACATCATTGTCTTCCAAAGCTTATAACTACTCTGCCTTTTTAGAGTCATCTAGCTCTTCAGGCCCATCCACTCAACAGAAGACAGGCGTGCCTCTTTGCTTTTGTGGTTTTATTGAATTTCTACATTTCCTTCAAACAGAACTTGCAATACCCTACAGATGGCAAGGCTTCCGAACACAGGCCCCCGGGCATGCTGTGGAGAGATCTGCCGAAGCCTGCCCCTCACTCCTGGTGTAGATGCCGGGACGCGGCGCGGTGCGCAGCACTTGGCGGGAGCCCCTCTGGGCCGGGGCTCCTGGGCCGTCCGTGCAGGCGTGCAGTGCGCTCGCACCGAGGCACTGTGCTGCGGTTCTGCCTCTGACTCTTGGGACCTTCGCGCTTCTCAAGGTCAAGGGCTGGCTCCAGTGTCCTTCCTGCTCTCAAGCTTTCCCCCTGCTCCTACGCCCTCATTCCTTGGCTTTTCCCTCTTTTACTTAGGGATTCTCCTGTAGCTTGTTCTTGGGTTCAGGAGCTGTAGTGATCTGCTACAGGTTGGTGTATTTCAGGCGGGTCCTTGGAGCCCCAGAGTCCTGAGGGGGCCCAGGAGCCAGGCAGGGAGGGCTGGGGACGGTCAGGTCGAGCCCCCAGGGCGCAGTGTCTCCCGTCTCTCTGTGTCAGAGTGGCTCCAGTTTTATCTGATTCTCACATTTGGATTCAGCCTAAGAGGCGGTATGGGAAAGAAGGATTCTACTATTAAAATAGTTAAAAGCTATTGCTCCAGTTATTTTTTGATTAAAGTAACAAGTTCACCAAGTTTGGGCACTTCATTGTTATTGTCACTGTTTTGTGCATTAAAAAAAATGGAGGTAAAGTTTTTTCAGGCGGGTATGTTTATAAAAGAACCTCACCTGACGTTTCTCCCTCCGTCTCACATTCTTAGGGTCCTCTGGGCCATTCAAATTCTTAGTTTCAAATATAGCTATATTAAGAATGCACCCATAATCAGGGTCATCATCAGAGGGACTTTGTGGGGGATATGGCCCATGACCTTTGCAACAGGGAAGCATCTTCGAGCCGGCGGCCTTGAAATAAGGAGGGGGCGGCCTCCCCATGGCTCCTACTTCATAGGGAGGATCCCCCCTTGTTTATGAGGCTGTTGGCAGCCTTGTCAGTGTCAGGAACAAGGGTGCAGGGTTACCAGGTGCGCTTTCCCAAAGACAGGAAAACTGGATCCTTGCCGGCAGGGATGTGGGAGGCTATCCCCGGTAGTGCCAGAAGCCGTTGTAGACCTCAGATGTCCTTTTCTTTTCTTCTCCTTTCAGAGCTTATTTAGTAAAAGTGCTTAGAGTGAGTTCATTCTGCACTCTTCCTCCTCTTCCTGCAATAGTCAGATGTGTCTCTGCTGTCTTACCAGACTATTTTAGAACCTCTTCCTGTTACCTAATACCAGGGCTTGGTGTGCGGGTGTTGCGGGGGGGCGGGTGGCGGCGGAGCTGACTGTTCACCTCAGAGTGAAAAGTCTACATCAGATCCGTTTCTCGGATCAGGATGCTGTGACCAAATGCGTGAGGAAGCCATCCGTGGTTCTTAGGCCCTCGGACACGTGTCATGAACTGCACCTAAATCAGGGGAATTCACAACCTACTGGAAACCACCACAAGGTCGCCCCTTCTTGAGTGAAGGGATTCTGACAAGGTGCCAGCTGGTGACTGAGGTGGTGTGCCCCCTGGAGGTTTTTCGGTCTCTGGCACACTTGTTTGTGCTCTTTGGCTTATCATTCTGTCTTCCTGCCCAGAGGCCAGGCAGCTTGGTTCCCTTCCCTGCAGTTTGATCAGCACCTAGAAGGGCGGGAGGCGTAGAGTAGGCTTCAGGCAAATATTTGCTGACTGGATAGATGGTTGCTTTCGTTTTCCTTCCCAGGCTGTGTGCATTCAGCACCGGGGCAGTGCATGCTTTATCTTTGTAGCTCCTGTAACTCCCAGGAGAGTGGCACACGGCAGACATGCGAGTCTGTGGAAAATGAAGTAATAGTCATTTAATGCATGCCATTCTTCTAGAGGAGGAAATTGCTTTCAGATCATTCAGACTTCACCAAGAAAAAATAGTTTCAGGTCAAGAAAAGGTTAACTCTTCCATTAAAACAGAGGAAGTTAAAGAAATGTTGGGCTCTGGTTTTTAGCTCCTTGAAGGTTTAAAGAGAGAAATGAAGGCAAACTCACTCACTATCTCATGACTGTTTGGACCATGGAGGAGTGCTCTGTCACTGCATAACAAATCACCACAAACCCAGAGGCCTAAAACAACACACATCTATTGTTTCATTGTTCCTGTGGTCAGAAGTCAGAGCACAGCTTGGCTCATGAGGCTGTAGTCAAGGTGTTGGCTAGGGTTTGGTTTTCGTCTGGAGGCATGGCTGGGGTGGAAACTGATTCTAAGCTCTCCCAGGTTGTTGGGCAAATCCATTTCTTCATGGTTGTAGGATCCTGGGGCTCCGGCCTCTCGCTGGCTGACCTAGAGGCCACATCCATTGCCATGTGGGTTTTCCAGACGTGGCTGTTTGGTTCATTAAACTGGCAAGGAGAGGCTGCTAGCAAGATGGAGCCGGATGTAATGTCACATAATCGCGACTGACATCAGCACGTTTGCCATGTTCTGTTGACTGGATGCAAGTCCCAGTTCCCACACACACTCAAGGAAACACCAGGAGTAGATCATGGGGCCACCTTAGAGACTGCCCACAACCGATCGCCTTTCCTTACTCCTTGAAAAGTGATTGCCATCGGCTATCCATTTGTGTGGAAAATTGTTTTGCTCCTTTGTTTTTTCCAAAATGATCCATGATTTTAAATCTTTTAAAGGATCATAACTCTATAGGGTCCATTCATTCTTCTAACCAACTTGGATATCCTCCGTGCCTTCCTGACCCTGCTGGGTGGTGGATGCCCCCAGAGTGCTCACTTCTCCAGCAGGAATGTCAGCTTAAGTTGCTGTTTGTGAGCTGCTTTAGAACCCGGCTGCAGTTTTGTCGCGTTGTTTGTAGAGGGAAATGTGGTCCTGAGTCTCAAGTGACTGACTTGCCTGTGAACTTTTAGAAGGTTAAGATGCCCTCTCAGTAGTTTTTTCTGTGGCAGTGGGTATTGTATAGAGCGTTATTTGGGGCCTAAGTTGTGATGTCTATGGTTACCCTTTAAAAATTCCTTAAAAACAACAGAAGTCTGGGGGCGCCTGGGTGGCTCAGTCATTAAGCGTCTGCCTTCAGCTTGGGTCATGATCTCAGGGTCCTGGGATCGAGCCCCGCATCAGGCTCCCTGCTCAGCGGGAAGCCTGCTTCTCCCTCTCCCACTCGCCCTGCTTGTGTTCCCTCTCTCACTGTGTCTCTCTCTGTCAAATGAATAAATAAAAATCTTTAAAACAAAACAAAAAAAACCCAAAACAACAGAAGTCTGTGCTGTGTCTCCTCATTCTCTGAAGATGTGGAGCCTAACTGTCATAAAGCAGTCACCAAAGAAGGGAGAATTGCAGTGAATGGCAGGCTGGATAATTGACTGTCTGGGGTCACATTCGGGTAGCATTCCGTAGGGGACAGGCTGGTTACAGGATTGCACTGGAGTCTTCCATAAAACACAGCGGGTGGCACTGCCTGTGACAGAGGACGCATCGGGGGTCCATCCCTCATGATAAAAGAGCCCCTGCGCACCGACTGCTACTGTCTTATCCAGTTCAAGGAGCGACACTTGTCCAACTTCCTGGGCTGCTTCGTCCCCCTGACGTCAGCCTGACCCTCTGGCTGTCCTCCGCCGGCCTTTGGTGCTTCGCTTCAGCATTGTGCAGTGCACGGCCAGAGAGTCCTTTCCGACCGAGAGAAGCACGTGCTCTGCTGTAATAGAGACTGTTCTGGCCACACATACCAGGGGGTTTCCTCCAAGTATATTACATAAGGTAGATGAGTGCAACAGGTATGGACTTCAACAGGTAAGGTGGCCGACCCCATGAGGAGGCTGCAACGTTTCTTTCAATGTTTACATGCTTTTCTCTTTGGGATGAGGGCTTGAGATTTTGGCTACCGGTAAAGTATCGTTTACAGGAAACAGACCATAAAATGCAGCATTTCCTGCTGAGGGATTATTTGTGCATGATATATACCACATAGATAATTCCCATGGTAACTGTGGGTGTGTGGAGTCTGTGTATCTCCGGGCTCTTTGAGGAGGAAGCTGAGACCGGGAGCAAATGGCAGGTAAATGTGAAAGATTAGAGCCTTTGCTTGCGCAAAAGTGATTTATTAGTCGGATTAAAATACCATGCTCAAAGGCAAACGTAATTGGTTTGCTCCTCAAAGAAAGAAGGCTGAGCCACGAGCAGTCAGCTGTCCCAGTGCTGTCCTCCAATCTGTCCTTGACAGCAAGACCAGATCGGTCCTCCCAAGATAATATTTTTGTGATGGCCTTCCTTCACTGAAAAATTACACGTCTGAGTGTAAAACCCTCGGCTGGCCATTCAAGGCTCTTGTAAATGTCCCGCCCTCCTGCTTCACTGCGCTCACCCGCTTCCCCCAGGTAGTCTGACGTGCGTCCTGGGCGGTTCAGCGGGCCTGTGCCTTCCCACCCAGGTCACCTCGGCTGTGACAGGTGAACCCCAAGACAAACTCGTGTCCCTCATGGGTAAGCAAAACATGCCCCAAAACACGCACGCCTACAAGTGTCTCTCTTTCAGCTGCTACCAGCTTCTGAAGAACCTCCGAATCACTTCCCCCCCCCCCCACCCAAATCTCTTATTTGGAACCCTCGTTGCCTTTTCTGGTTTCAGTCTAATTCCCCAAATGTGATACAGACTTAGGCTCAGAGAATGTGTAGGAACAAGGCTGGTGGTAAGAGGTACGACCAGGTCTGCCTATGACAGATCCTTTACTCGTGGCTGTCTTTTCCTCCCCGGCTGCTTGAAGCTTGGCCGCCATCATGAACGACACAGTAACTATCCGGACCAGGAAGTTCATGATAACCGACTACTTCAGCGGAAACAGATGGTCATTGATGTTCTTCACCCCGGAAAGGCAACAGTACCTAAGACAGAAATTCAGGAAAAACTAGCCAAAATGTACAAGACCACACCAGATGTCATATTTGTGTTTGGATTCAGAACCCATTTTGGTGGTGGCACGACAACCGGCTTTGGCATGATTTATGATTCCTTGGATTATGCAAAGAAGAATGAACCCAAACACAGACTTGCAAGACATGGCCTGTATGAGAAGAAAAAGACATCAAGAAAACAGCGAAAGGAACGCAAGAACAGAATGAAGAAAGTCAGGGGGACTGCAAAAGCCAACGTTGGTGCTGGCAAAAAGTGAGCTGGAGATTGGACACCAGGACTAAAGATGCTGCAGTGGCTTTATCTGTGGTGATTGTGCAGATTTTTCATGAGAGGATCAATAAACTAAGAATGTTAATGTGAAAAAAAAATAGCTGAGTATTGACAATTTCATTTGGTTCAACCTAATCCTGCATAAAAGACTATTTAATATGTGTCCATGGCTTATAGCACTGGAGGTGCTATTCTGGTCCCGGAGGTAGGGGTTGCTACAGGTTGTGGAAGAATTTCTTCTTTGTTTTCTGGGTCAGCCCTGAGTGAATTCCTTTCTTTTCACATTCACTTTTGGAAATTTCCAAATGTGCACAAATGTAGGGAGAAAGCATAATGAAATGTACTCAGTTATCCACATCTCCCAGATACTCTTGACATGGATTTAACTTGTCTTTGGACCTTTATGCCTTGCTTTTTTTCCACTTGTTTGTTGGTTTTAGTAGAATATTTCCTTCCCTTTAACTCAGAAGCAGTCCACACTCATAGAAAAAATTGTCAAAATGCAGGAAATAAAAAATGTCCATAATCACCTGTTTAGAGACAACTACTTCAATTTCCCTTCCAGACCATTTTTTATCTAAGCTCATATTCAGTATGTTGTTATTATTTCCCAGGGATGCTCTTTCATGTTTTTTTTGACACTTTCTCCCTGCTTTTATCAGGGATGCAGTATCTCCAACATAATGTCTAATCCATCTGCTTTGGCCTGCTCTTTCTTCCGCATACTTTTCTAAGCCTTGCTGTCTGTATGCTTTCCAGAACTCTCCCTGAAGTCTTGGTTGGGCCCTGCAACCCAAACTATTCACCATTCCTCAGTCCCAAATAAAGCTCCTATTACCTCAAAGCCCGTGGGTCTTGGCCAGAGGCTGGAGGGAAGGAGGTGGATTATGTTAATTTACTTCACTGTGTGAATAACGAATTGACTTAATTTTTACAGAGGAATTGTCATTTAACCTTGTGACTCTTTTATTTGTAGGACCAGGTGACACATTAAGAATTGTCGGCAGCAGGGAGAATAAGTTTGGTTGAAGTTGAGTTCGTTTGGCACCTGGCATAGAGTAGGGTTTCTGGAATCCGATGACCTAGGTTCAAATCCTAGCTCCACCAGGACATACTATATCTGTGTGTTTGTGTGTGTGTGTGTGTGTGTGTGTGTGTATATAACCTGCTGTCTAAACTCCACTCTTATTCTCCTGAGGGGAGTAACAGTTGCTGTTGTTGGTCTCTGATGGGGATGAAATGAACTTGAGTGTGTTTCTGTCGAGAAGCTGGTGTAGAATGTTGGTTGTTTCCAGCGGACCCCAGCCCTCTGTGAGTCTAGTCTGTTCTCCAGCTCAGTTCAGGGAGTTGGACCTGATTTTTCACAGTTTCTTTGTCTACCTTGGAACCAGTACATTTTCTAGAAATTCCAGGTTTTTTCACACAGTTGCTTGTGACCATGGGAAGATGGGGAAGCGTGGAAATTTATTGGGGCTTGGGGTCTAAATCCATGAACTGCCTGGGTTTGTTGAGTGAATGCATTAGTAAATGAAAAAATAATTGATCTGTGAGTGTGCAGTGAAAGATCAGTTTTGTGTGGAATCCTCTGCTTTGCTGTAGGTCCAGATGTCAGTTCTCCTTGTGCTTTTTGAAAGAGGATGGTTCTGGAAGGAGCCACAGAAAACTCTGTCTTTCAGGATACTTTAGAGGCCTAGAGAATTGAAGAAGCAATGTTGTGGTAGTAAGTCTGAATTCTAATCTTAGGGGAACTTTATTTAAGACATTTCTTTTCTATTTGAGAGCCAAATGTGTAACAGTTTTTAAGGCCCAAATGAAGTGCTTAACAGTTCATATGATGCTGACTTTATGAAATCTCCCACTCCTTAGGACCAGGCTCCTGTTTGGTTCTGGTTAATCAACATTGTACTGGAGAGGCAATGGCAGGGCTCCCCTGGACCTGCCCACAGAGTTTGTAGATCACTTGGCTTCAGATTCCAGATACAGAACATTTTCGTTACATACTGCAAAAGTAAGTATGATTAAAGGCATGTGTCGGAGGAGCTCTGAGCTCCTGATAGAATGCATGTTTTTGTTGTAATGCATTTCTATACACAGGGCCAGGGCATCTGTCCTGATAAAGCACAGCCTTCCCTAGTGATGGAAACTCCATCCAGAGACATAACTACTGTCTGACCACATCCTGCTGGCTTAAGGAGGAGCATTTCTAGATTGTAGCTGGGTATCTGGTTTTTGTGAAAACGTGCTTAGTATTTCTTCCCTGGCTTCTTCCTTATATCATTCTTCAGTTTGAATAAACAATATTGAAACGATCTGAGTGTAGCTAAGTAGACAGCAGGATCTGTGGCAAAGCCTTCGGTTAAAGATAGCCCTAGCGACGGGAACCCTTTGCTGATGGGGATTGCCTGCCTTCGGCTACCGGCAAGCAGAGACAACTGACAAACAGATTGCAAATGGAGATTTTGAAAAAGAAATTAGTGCCTACTGGTGTGGCTTTAACAGCAGCTCTTTGCATTGGAAGATTAACGCATTTGGCTTCTCAGTGTGTTCCTTTAATGCATTATCTCATTTGACCCTCACATGTACCCTGCAATGATGGACAGCAATACTGTCTCATCTTAGACGTGGAAACTGAGAACCCAAACACTGACTTAAAGATAATGAACTTGGACCTTACAAAACCCCAGGCTGAGGGGCGCAGGTACTCAAGCTGTCCCACTGTGGAGTGGGGAAACTGTCCCTCAGGGCGAGACGGGAGGTGGGGACAGAGCACACCCCGTGACAGAAGGTATCTGGGAGGAAAATGGGAACTGTTTCAAGGCTTTGTAGATAAGAGTATGTTGCTTAGGTTGGATTTTAACTCAACTGATGACTTTTTACATTTCTATTCATTTAGAGAAACAGAAATGTACTCTTTAGTAACTCAGACCATTAACTATTCAGTTAACAAAATCTCCTTTGATAGAGAGAGACCCTCATAAGTTGTTGATGGTAATGGTGGTGATTACCTAAGATGAAGGTCATTTTCCTGTCAGCTTCCTAAATGGAAGTCAGCCGGTTAACACCAAGTGTCCGCTGTGGGTGCTATGTAGGATATGGTCCTGTGAATACGGCCCAGTGCCCCCTGTGTGCTGGGGGACAGAGGAGGGTTCGGATGCCGCTCTCCTGGTGGGACACACAGAGACCCTTCCCTCCGCCAGTCAACCCTGCCCCCTGTCCCTGCTTCTTTCCTGTACAAGCTCTCCACACCCTCGGTGCCTGTTCTCCAAACCTGCAGATCCCGCTTCAGAGGACGGTGCAAGGCTTTGGGGCAGGAAGACTTGGGTTCGAGCCCCGACTCCGTCTCTCACTGGCTACGTGCTCTTGGGCAAGTTACCTGGGAGAAAGTCACCGAAGTGACTTGGTTTGTAGTGGGCTGGGCATCATTCATTTAAAAAGTCTTCGCACGTGGTTCTCTTGCACACCCAGGGTTGAGAATGACAGAGTTCTAGTAATGTTGGGTTTCCTTATTTCTGGAATGCAGAGTATTGCCGGATAGATAAGGTGGTGTGAAGATTAAAAGAAATATTTTATCTAAGGGATCTTTCATTTGGCTGATGTCCCAAAATGTTAGTTGTTATTAATTATTACTATTTGTTTTCTACTTTAAAAAGTTAACGCATCTCATTACAGATATTATGACAAATATAGAAAAGAAGAAAACAGCCCGTAATCTGAAAGATAATCTCAGTGTGTTGGTACTTTACATACCCTCCCCCTCGCCTACATGCTCATTGGGATAAGAAAATGTGCTTTTTTACTTGATATTTTCCCAGGGCATTAAAGCTGTTGAAAACACTTTTCTGCCTGCATACCATTTCGGCAACAGATTTGCACATGACAGATCTTGTTCTAGTTCTTTGATTAGTATGGCATTGTCCGCTCTCAGCCCCCTGGGTGATTTGCTTGGGCCTCTGTGAGGTGTGAGCTTGAGGGGTGGTGGCACCACTCACAGCCACCATGGAGCCTGGCTCCCTGCGCCTTAGTGCTTCTTGCCTGGCTGAGAGGCCCTTGCTGTGCTCATGGTCAGTATCTCCATCCCTGTTTGCCTTGCTCTTTGCCATTTCTGCTTTGGAAGCTCTCGGAGTAGTTTGTTGTTCCCTGGCTGACTTCCCAACCTGTGGCTGGAAGCTGTCCTGCCCTGGTGGGCATGCGTCTGAGGTGGGTCCCCATGGCCTCCTCCTGGGCCTGTCCCTCTGTGGCTTGGAAGTCAAGACTGCGAGGCAGAACCTCTACTTTCCTGCCTCCTTCTGCTCCCCTCTGTCCACCAACTCTGCTCTGCTGTGCAGACTTAGAGCTTATGGCCATGTGTCGGGCTGTACACATTGCTATCGATGGGACCTCAGAGGCTTCTGGCAGCCTTCTGCATTTAGCTCTGTGGAATCAGCAGAAGGAGGCAGGTCTTGGGCGGCAGGGCTCCTGGGGCTTTTTCTGATATGGCCAGAGTGTTAAAGTCACTGAGGTCTAGAGGTCGGGTGGACACCGTGAGGGTCGGTGATCACACTGGATCTTGTGCCTGCGCCTGCCAGTGAGAAGCACATTACCTGTGGCTTGTGATAGAAAAGCATAAAGCATCTTTATAACTGAGGTTTCCAGTGGAAGCAAGGAAATGCATAGGTGGGCTTATGGACTTTATGCCTCTGTCCTTGCTTGATGCAGTCACGCCTCTTTTCCCCATGAAAGTACAGGTGTCCCACACTCTTTAAAGGTTGCATTATGCCACTTTGCTGTTACAAAGACCTACCTGTTTTTTATTAACTGAAAGAAATTGGAAGATTTTTGCTTTTACAAAAAAAAGGCAAAAAGCTAAAATGGCGTTCAGCATTTGTTTTACAGCGAGCTATTCTAGAGGCTGCTCAAATCCGGAGTGTCCAGAGCCATGCTCCTTCCCCGGGGAATGCACTCAGCATCTCAGCGTCAAGCCACCAGGGCTTTGAACTGTGTCTGTGGGCATCTTTATCTCCATTTACTTGGTCCATCCTTTAGCAAGATTTGTCCTAAGGTGTCAGAAAAGCCTAATAGAGGTGATTTTTTTGGGTCTGGGAACACTCAACAAATTTTCCATATAAATTAATGGTTGTTTCTTTGCTTTACACCATTTCATTCGTGAAGGGTTCCATAGCAACGCTCTACTTTCAGATAGCGGGGGGAGGGGGGTGGGGTGGGGGGAGCCTGAAGTGGCCTTTGAGATGGCCAGTTAGACCTTCTCCTTTGGAGCTCCATCACCTGGTGGGCCCAGCTCTTGGAGCTGTCGTGTGTGCTTACCTCTTCCCACCCCGACACTCTGCTGTCTGGGGTGGGACTGTGGGTTTATGCATTTCCATAAACCCTGGCTGTGTCGAGCACAGGGCATCAAAATAGATGTGAGATCAGTGAGCTTTGGTGGGATTTAGTGTAGGTGTTGATCATTGTACAGATTCCTCCCCACAAGAAAGGATAACCTAATTTTCGGGTAATGCTTTCAAAACGATTGTGGCAACTTTCTGCATAAACCCCAACAGCAAGAAGTCCGTAACAACCTGCCATTGCGGGAATTCTAACGGTTCGATTAGTTTTACACAGATGAGTATTCTTTCGTCTCACGGTTGGTTGAAGGACCAACTTTGGGGTTTCAGCATGAATACAAGTGGTGGCATAATGGATTCAAAATCCTGACAGTTGATGCCACTTGGAGAATACAGTTTTACGCCACTTCTAAGGAGACGGAAAGAATACTGACTATTTCTTAAACTTAAACCCAGGACGAGGTGAGTATCTCATTTTCAGCTACCCTGCTGGAAAGTAGAAACAGCTCACTGGAGACATGTGCCTTCCCTGGGCTGTCCGCTCCAGGCCTCCCAGCAACATTTCCAGCGTCTTCCAAAGGAACTGAGCCTGCCCTTCCCCCAGATAGCAAGCAGTAACCAAGGCACTGCCATCACGTTGTATGCCAACTGCACTTTGATAATAAACAATAATAAAAACTGAAAAAGAAAAAAGGAAAGAAAAGTGACCAAGGTAAAGATAGTAGGAAGTTGGTCTCCTGTCACGGTCCGTTCTGTGCTCCCCCCGCAGTGGTTCACAGAGCGTTTCCCCCTGGCTGCTGGGGGCGACGAAGGGGCGCAGAACTATCCCCAGAGCAGAGAGCCACCATGTGCCTATTTAAGAGAAATGAACTGCTCCTGTCTAGGCATGTTTTGTACTCAACAAAGACTTCCCTTTCCACATTGTTTGAAAACCAGTATCTGTATCTACAGTTATAGAATCCAGTAACCTGCCCCCTTACCTCGAAGAGGGTGCTGAGCCTCTGGTGTTAGGGAGTGAGTTCTTGGAGCCGGTTTTTGGCTGGCGGGCGTGTGCCCACCTGGTGCTGACGGTACACGGGCCTTTGCAGCCCGCCCACCGCAGCCCTGCACGTCCTGGGGGGTCATTTCGGCCTGCTGTGGATCACTGGGCTCCCGTTCGCCTTCTGTTCTAAGGAGGCTCAAAAATGTGTTTCTGGCACATGTCTGGGCTCCAGTAGCTTTTGCTTCTGCTCCAGACAAGAGCGAACTTTTGAGAAAGGAGTGTAAATTATGGACCGGCCCTTCACAGAGCCCGGGACAGACTGTGTCTTGTCTTTCAGAGGAAGGCAGATGGCTCATCCTACCTAGCCTCCTGGGCCCTTGGGTTGCTGTACTCTGTGAAGCCGAGGAAAGAAGATGCTCTTTAATTGCACTGTCTTTGCCTTGCCCTGGCTTTTACTGTTTGGGAGAGTGAATGCACTTACTTTAACCAGACTACACACAGGAGGGGGTGGGAGCAGGTAGGCACTCTCTAAACGTCAGCGGCATTTACCAGTCAGGTTGAAAACAGTGCGAGTCACAAGGAGCTTTCCCACTCTGCTTGCCTATAAGATTCCTGTCTACTTAAAATACTCCCCTCTCTGCCAAAAATGATGTCGAGGAGTGATTTTACAGGGATTCTGCACATCCCCTAGCATAGCCTTTTCTGCCAAGGGTTTGCGTTAAAATGTTACATCTTTAACTCATTATCCAAGCCATTGTTTCCTGAAAGCTTTGTTAGGATTTACAATCTGACTTGAATAAATCCAGTTACATCCCGTAAGGAAGAAAAGAAAAGGAGGAATTACACCCTTGCCTCTCTCAACAGTGCTGGGGCCTTCCCCAGGCCCTGGGGCCCCGGCAGGTGACTCCGAGCCTCATCTTGCCCCAGGTATCACTTATGGCCTCGCCGGGGCGCCCCGGAAGCAGGCCATTCTGTGGCCTGAAGCAGACTGGGGAGCCTCTGGTCTCTGTGCTTGTTCTTCCCTCATTCACAACGGCTGCCCTTTTCTGCTCCTATCACACCCTCGTGTCTGGGGTCTTCCTGCTGCCCTCCAGCTCCACAAATAATGTCGTCTTTCCTCATTTCCTCCCCACTTCCTCCCCACCTTACAGCACAGTGATATCATTTCCTTCCCACCTGGAATGCCAGAGCCCTCAATGAGCACTTGGGCCCCCGTGCCTTCCGAGCTCCGTGATCTGGTTTGACCCTTGGCTCTCCCAGTTATTTTTCCTCATCCTTATAATGAGGAGATCGGAACACATGACTGTTATTCCTAGCTGAAAACTTCTGAGTCTTGAGAAGCTTTTTTTTGTCTTCTCTTGGCCGGTCACGTGAAGTACAGAGAGGCCCACTCCAGTTCCTGTGTGACCACACAGAGGGTCCTGGTCAGGGTCTGGGGGCGGGGGGTTGCCAGACCACACTGTACCGGGTAGCTGAGGCCACGAGGTGTGGGTGGGCAGTCAGGTGTTCTGGATGATTAGGTATGGACTTTGCTAGATCTGCCATTCTCCATTTAGATTATTATGTTTTCCAGTGACTTAATCGTAGCAAGGTTAGGTCAATTGATGATCAAGATGAAAAAGCAGTGATACTTTTTTCTACCTCAGTAGCCAAAAATCATGATAGCTTCTCTCTGCACATGCTGTTTTTTAAAAAAATAAACTCTTTAGTTCAGCACAGTTTTAGACTTATAGAAAAATTGTAGGGATAGTACAGAGAGTTCCCATAGACTCCACACCAGCTTCCTCTTTGGCGAGCACCCTACATTAATGTGGATGATCAGTTACCGCTAATGACCTGGTCCCCATACGACTAATGCCCATACTTTATTTAGATTTCCATGGTTTTCCTCGGGGTCCTTTTTCTGTTCCCGGATCCCATCCAGGATCGCACATGACATTCAGTTATCATGTCTCCTCAGGCTCCTCTTGCTTGTGACAGTTTCTTGGACTTTCCTTGTTCCTGAGGTCCTGACATCTTGAGGAGCACTGGTCAGGTGTTTTGTAGAATATTCCCTATCTGCAATTTGTCTGATATTTTTCTCATGATTAGATGGGGGTTACGGGTTTGGGGAGGAAGATCACAGAGGTCAAGTGCCCTTCTTGTCACATCCCATAATCAAATGTTTGTCATTGTGGATCGTGGCCCCTGGTCAAGGTAGTGTTGGTTAGGTGCTGCACTCTTTTCTGCCCTTTCCACACAGGCCTCTGTGGAAGGAAGTCATGTGGGCAGGCTACTTACAGCTGGGGAGCTCTGTTCCACGTCTTTGAGTATGGGCGCTGGCATCCTGGCCCCCTCAGGATGAGCTGCCCAGGCAGGATTGGCCTGTGTATTGGCGGACAGTGAATGGAATGCTGGCCTGGGGTGCAGTCCGTGGTGTGCACTCATCCTGGGGCCCGCGCTTGGCTTGCCCCGGGTGACACGGGTTGGCTGACTGAAGCTGTTGGTGAACAGGAACCCTCTCGTGATTCGTGCTCAGAAGTGGATCCTCTAGCGCATTACGCTAACATTTTAGTCCAGAAGAAAAGGGCTTCCTGGAGTAGTAACAGTTGCCAAAAACCCTGACTTATAATAATTCAGTATTTTTTCTGCTCTGGACCTAACTCTGTGTTAACGTAAAAGTGGAAGCCGCTTGGTTCTTGCCCTCAGGGGGATCCCAGAAAGGTCTAAAAAAGCATTGCCATTGCTATTCAAGGCCTCTGGGTTTTAATAATTAAAATATGGTTGGGTTTGCCTTCCATAACATTATACTTGGAATAACATCTTGTTTTTTTCTGGGGAATTGCATGGTTATCATGGGCAAGAACAATGTCATTAATTTGTATTTCTCATACTGTGTAATTTCTGCCCATAGGAGGCTCTCCCTTAAGAGCTGCAATAAATGTGGACACTCAGAGATCTCAAAGTCAGGGCCACTGGGGGTATTGGCCTCCCGGGCAGTTCTGTCTATGCTGGTTAGGTCTGAGATGGGTGGAAGTCATAGGCGGATGTTCTGACAACCAGTTGTGGAATTCTGAGATTTAAACTATTTTAGCCGTCAATGACAGTAAAGGACATGGTGGCTGTCTGTGTTGTGATAAGAGGGGGTTAATGGGATGAAAGGCAATAATAAACACTTTCGTTCTTTTTCTCTAGCAGAGTTGAACAGCACAATGGGGTGCAAAGTTCTGCTCAACATTGGGCATCAGATGCTGCGGAGGAAGGTCGTGGACTGCAGCCGGGAGGAGAGCCGGCTGTCTCGCTGCTTGAACACTTTCGACCTGGTGGCACTGGGGGTGGGCAGCACGCTGGGTGCTGGCGTGTATGTCCTGGCTGGAGCTGTGGCCCGTGAGGATGCGGGCCCCGCCATTGTCATCTCCTTCCTGATCGCAGCGCTGGCCTCGGTGCTGGCCGGCCTCTGCTACGGCGAGTTTGGCGCTCGGGTCCCCAAGACGGGCTCAGCCTACCTCTACAGCTACGTCACGGTCGGGGAGCTCTGGGCCTTCATCACTGGTTGGAACTTAATCCTCTCCTACATCATTGGTATGTCCCAGGAGGCCTGGAGCCTGCCCCCTTCCCCCTCTGCTCTTCTCACCTCCAAGCCGCAGGCCACGCTCTCCTTTGCTCCCCGAGTGGACTGAGTCTAGCTCCTCCCTAAGATTGGCCTCCTCCCTTGACTATGGTACACGTTCCCTTTCCCTTATTAGGAAAGGCAGGGGCTGCCTCGGGGGTATCACTGCTCCTTCTGGTGTGTGCCCCTGTTTTGAATGATAGGTGCAGTGGACTGTTAGTGGGGATGAGCCAGGCCAACAAGGAGGTCAGTCCTGTGAACATAAGAGACGTAGATTCAGTGGGATGTTCTTACTACTTAAAAGGAGTGTAGTCCCTTTCAGTATTTTTGATTACTGATTACTAGAATAAACATAGCACTTATACAGAAGAATTTGGGAAATATAGAAAAGTGCAATGCAGAAAGTAGACATTGCCCAATCTGACAATCCAGAGAAATTGTTATTCATTCACTCATTCTTTCAACAGATATTTATTGAGCCCCTCCTCTGTGCCAGACATTATGCTAGGTAGTAGGAACACAATGGGAGAAGAAGACAATCTCTGTTCATAAGAGTTTAGGGTTCTAACTATTGCTAATATTTTTGTCAACTTAAATGTATATTTTTTGTCCAGTATGTCTATTTATAAAACAATATATAGTAAACATTTTTCATGGTATTAATGGTTTTTCCATAGTAATATTCTAAATGATTGCATATCATTATATAGTTTTATATACGTAGCATACTTTTTTGGATGTTCTTGTGGGGTATTTAGATTGTTTCCAGTTGTGTTATTATTGTTATAAACAGTTTAATGTCATTTAATGTCTTTGGGCATAGCCATGATTTTTTTTCTTTAAAATAATCTAAGAAGCAGAATGTGTAGTCAGTGGGCTTGCGTATTTTTTTTTTTTTTAAGATTTTATTTATTTATTTGAGAGAGAGAATGAGAGAGAGCACATGAGAGGGGGGAGGGTCAGAGGGAGAAGCAGACTCCCCGCTGAGCGGGGAGCCCGATGCGGGACTCGATCCCGGGACTCCAGGATCATGACCTGAGCCGAAGGCAGTCGCTTAACCAACTGAGCCACCCAGGCGCCCAGGGCTTGCGTATTTTTAAGGTCCATGTTGCCTGTGATCCTCCAGATGGCTACGGGCCCCCTTTCTCACATACTTGCTGACCCTGGGCACCGGCATTAAAAACAAACAACCAACAAACAAGAACACTCAAAATATAAAGTCTTCTTAGTTTGGTAGTTGAGAAAGTATTGTTTCTTTGATGTTATTTGTATTTTGGTTACAACCGAGGTTGAACACATCAACTTAAAAGAGACAAACACCTGAATATAAAATAACCAAAGGATATGAATGGCCAATTCCTACAAGTAGAAATGTAAATAGCCACTAAACATTCCATTTATATTTCAGCAAGCTTTTTGTAATATTTTCAAAACACAGTAAGATGTGGTAAGCAGGTCGCAGTGTGTTCCTGTGTACCCCATACTGAGAATGACATAGGGGACTGTGTGCAGCCCGCTGGGACGCAGGCCCCCAGGGCTGTGGGGGCACCTCCTGCTGCTTGCCCAGGCCAGCTGGCGGAGGGCTGCCGCCAAGCTCTCTGAGCAGCACCTTCCCTTTCTTTCCCGGAACCCATGGTACCTAATGACTGCCAGCATAGCTTATGCTTCTAAGTTCGAAAATAAAATTCATAATAATTTTTTTTTTTTTCTTTTCAGTACAACACTAAAATTTATAACCACAAATGCTCATGTAAGCTCAAGTCTCTGAGTGGGAATGTAGCTGTTGTACATGGGCTGTTATGTTCCCAGAGGATCTGCCTGGGCATAAAACAAAACCTGAGCAGGAGTCGCCCTCTGCTTCCAGACCAACAAATGAAAGCTGCTTTGCCAGAATGCTGTTTGCTTGTGTGACTGACTCGTGCATGTGTTACTGTGGGGGATTCTCAGCCTTAGATTTTGGGGAAGGGCAGTTTTTCTCAGCAAACATGAGTTTTGTTAAAGCTAGTTTTCAAAGACGGGGAGTGAGGGAGGCCAGGAAGGAAGGCCAGGCAGCCCCACTCACCCTCATGGTGGGCTTCAGAGCCTGATCAGAAGTGAGCCGGCCTCTGTCAGGGAGGGGAGGAGGCCATTTTCCTCCCCTGGACTGTGGCCTTGATGGACAGAATTCATAATAGCCTGGATGCTGAGGATGAAGAAACATGGTTAAATTTTTGAGTTGTTGGACAAATACTTGGTATGAGACCCACTAGCAATATTGAATCTCTGTAGTTCCTCTGGGCAGATTGTGTGGATGACCCAGACCACAGTCACCAGCAAGGCCCCCTTTGAAAGTAAAGGAAAATGCTATATGTGAATATTGGAATTTTAGTAACATTTCCTTGAAAAGCAGTGACTTTATTCAGGTTAAAAGAGAGAGCATGCAGTCAACAGTTGTTGGCATTTGGGGTGCTGTGTCTGTGATCCTCATGGCGGGGGGTGTGGTACGAAGAGGAGAAGAGCTGGGCTGTCTGTGGTCAGGCACTTGGGGACCTGGTATGAGCCCAGGTTTGGGCACAGAAGAGCAGAGCTGGCTGGCGCTGGCTCTGGGGTGACCACGTGACTGTTGCTGACGGGAGGGTCAGCACGTGTGGATGTCCTTGGTCCCTTCTTGCTGGGAGAACAGCATTCCCTGGTGGGTGGGGACCCTCAGCTTTACTGTCAGGAGGGTCTTGGAAGCTTCCTGAGCCAGACGTCTCAAGCTGCCCACCACAACCCATGAGTGGATCATGAAATCAACTTCATGGTTTGCCACCAGTATTTCTTTAATAATGAAATAAAATAGGTAGAGTTGAATAAATATCACCAGCGTGCTTCTCAGGTGGAAAGGTTAATAGCACTAGTTTGTGAACTGTTTATTATTCAGTTGTATATTTGGAACATGGTACCCATGCCCATATTGGGTTGTGATGGAAAATGTTTCTCTCCGGGCCCGTGAAGGCTCCCCAGCCTTGTCACTTCACTGCAGGCACTAATCGAGCCTCGCTTCTGAGCTAGCACAGACTGGGGTCCGGCTGCCACCACTGAGTCCCAGCGCGTCATCCGTGACCCCCGCACGGAGGCTGCAAAGTTGAGCCCGATGACAAATATTGTTCATTGTTTTCCTTCAATTTCCTCTGGTGCGTCTGTTTCATGGCAGGTACTTCAAGTGTAGCGAGAGCCTGGAGCGCGACGTTTGACGAGCTGATTGGCAAACCCATCGGGGAGTTCTCACGGAAGCACATGGCTCTGAAAGCCCCCGGAGTGCTGGCCGAAAACCCAGACATATTTGCTGTGATCATCATTCTCATCTTAACAGGTAAAGCCACACAGCGGGACATGTCCGGTTGGAGTGAGGGGCCTGAGGTGCCGGGCAAGTTCCCATGGGGCCTGTCTCTAACTTTCCTCATTCTCCTTTCCCCTCCTTTTGTTTCTTTCTGTAATGAATGCAGACATCTCATTGGTCTTAACGGCTTCTTGTACACACAGGGTGGGCCCGTTGAATAGCTATCAAAGCTGCGTGTCATTTAATTTAAAAAGAGTCTCAGGTGTTTGTGCAGCTGTTTGTAGAGTGGGGTTTTGTTAGTACGGCAGGCTTTTTGTACAAGTGACCCAGGAATACAAATTCCCTTGACTCAGTGGAGGACCATTTGGAAAGGAAAGTGGCATTCTTCAGCGGGGAACATAGAGGGGAAGAGGTCGATCTGGCGCACCAGTGTGTGTGCCTGGGTGCTGGAAAAGTCTTGGATGGTTTTGCACCTAACAGCCATCAGAGCGCCCATTAAAAATGTTTCACAGGGCGCCTGGGTGGCTCAGTTGGTTGAGTGTCTGCCTTCGGCTCAGATCATGATCCCAGGGTCCTGGGATGGAGTCCTGCGTTAGGCTCCCTGCTCACTGGGGAGCCTGCTTCTCCCTCTCCTACTCCCCCTACTTGTGCTCTCTCTCTCTCTCTCTCTGGCAAATAAATGAATAAAATCTTTAAAAAAAAATGTTTCATGACAGAGTCACGGGTACAGAATTTTAAAATTCCAGGTAGTTTTTGAGCACGGCTGAGGGCAGCTGCTTCTTAGTGACGTTTATCTGTGTCCTGGCCTCTAGGATGGGAGCTTTGTTCCATGTGACACTTAACTGTATAAGCATTAAGCTGAATGCAGATAAATTCCCCTTTGAGATTAGAAGATCTGGATGGGTTTTTAAAACACCATGCCTTATTTTACCACCACGTAATTGAAATCATCTTGCACAGGCCAGTCTCAGCAGTATTTCTGGTCCAGCTGGCTGGAACATGTATCAGAAATTAAGTTTGCACTGGGGAGATTTTCATAAACATGAGAGGGAGGGACGCCAGAGAGAAACAGAGCACACAGCACGAGGAGGTGTTCCCTGCGATTAATTGCTCACTTCCCTTCTAGCACCTTCATTTCGGAATTGAATCTATTGTGAAATGCATTTATTATTTTAAGTGTGTAAAATGTGCACCTGGCAGGGCAGCAGTCTCAGATCATAAGTGGTGGTCACCTGTTACCTGGACACCTTTCCATGTCTCTTTTCTTCCCCAGCCGGGAGTTTAGCCACAGAAGTCCCCAAATGGCACGTTTACCCCCGGGTGATCGTGTGGCCTAAGCCTCAGAGACAGTGTTGTCATGTGGCTTCTGTGTGTTTCATCACTTGGGTCTTTTTAATTTTTTTATGTGAGTTTATGATCTATAACTTGTCTAGCTTAGACATTGTTTTACGTGCACTGAGTCCGATGACGAACCTCATGGTTCGTGGTTCCATAATCACAGAAAGTTGTCATTGCTCATACCGCTAACGTTGCATGGTGAATCTGAATAATTTTCTCATCTGAAAAACCCTCATTCTACCAACAAACTGAGCCAAATGTCTCCTCCTTGGAGAAAAAAAAATCCCACTGCCCCCTCAGGGGAGTCCCAAGAAAGTATGTTAGTGAGGGGAGACGGTGCCGAGAGAGGCCTTCTCTTCATCCCTGGGAGGGGCTTGCATTCCAGGGTGGTGGGCTGTGCTGTTCCCCATCGCTGCAGTCCTTTGGTGCCCCCTGGCTGGCATCCTCAACTCCAGAGGGGGCCTGCAGGGCCAACTTTGATAGCTTTGTGAACCACTCCGTGGACTTTGGTTATTTTGATCCCTGCCTCTAGAAAGATGATTAATTCAGCCCCATTCCCAGAGGCTCACAGAAATCTTAGGAGGTTTGGTGCCGCTTAGATTCTTCTTAAGTCACCCTCTCATCCAATCCCTGTCCGTGTCCCAGGAAGGAGTCACCTGGCAGAGTTCACACCATCAGGCAAAATTTTCTTCCTTGTGCACTTTCTCAGGACTTTTAACTCTCGGTGTGAAAGAGTCGGCCATGGTCAACAAAATATTCACTTGTGTCAACGTTCTGGTCTTGGGCTTCATAATGGTGTCAGGATTTGTGAAAGGATCGATTAAAAACTGGCAGCTCACAGAGGAGGATTTCCAGAACACATCCAGTCATCGCTGCTTGAACAAGTGAGTTGTTTCTTCTTTCTCTCGGCATGTGACAGTTGATTCGTATTTGGTACTTAACAACATACACATATATTAGGGGTTTGTAATTGGCTAGAACACTACATGCCTTTTTAAAAAATGTAATTTCAATTTGAATTAATTTTTTTGTGCAGTAAAATAGCGGAGGGTGTTTTTTTTGGTTTGAAATTTGTGTCAAGTTTCATTTCCCTGAACTCGACAGTGTATTGTCTGATAAAGGAAGGTATTCAGGAAAACAAAATCTTCATTCTAATTCTAAAACTGTATGTAGTTGAAGATCGTTGTCAGACTCACTAAGTAATCTATTTTCCTCATATTCTATTTCATGACCAACCTCTGAATTTTGTATTCAGAAAAGATTTTCTCTGCAAAATCATGGTACTATCACTTGATTATGACATGCCTTCCTATTAATAACATAGATGGAAGAAGAAATACGTGGGACTTTTATCACAGGCTTTTATCAGAGGTTTTCAGAATTACTAAAGTATCAAAATGTGATTATATTAGTCTTTCTCGCACCCTCGATTTGGGGTGCATCAGCCCTGAAAACCAGTGGCGCCATCTCCCTTATAGTCTCTGACTCAAGACACCCAGGATTGGAGGCAGGTGACAGGCCAGCTCTTGGACCTGTGCTTTTTTAGGACCCTCAGTGATGCCTCATCAACAAGCTCTGATTATCTAGAAATCAAAAGCCAAGCAATTAGAATGTATCTTTTGGATCTCTTTTGGTCAGATTTTTCAGGTGAATCTTAAGGTCCTAAGATGGAGAACGGGGGTGAGATTTTGTCTGTGATTCTGTTGTATTTACGACCAAAGGTTACACAGCTCTGATAAGGAGACCCTCCTAAAATGCAGTGGCTTTAAAATGACGTCTCAGGTCCTGATGTGAGTGGACCAGGTTGACTGGCCAGCGTGGCTGCACGCAGGCTTTTGGGGATCCACCAAGTTGTTCCGTCCTACCCTAGGATGTGGTCCTCCTCTGCATGGTCAGAGCTGGGCTCTCCCAGAGGGAAAAAGGGGTATGGAGGAGAGTGTGCCCAGTGCTTTCAAGGGCAGATCCAGAAGACACATGTCCCTTCTGCCAACATCCCACTGGTGAGAATCCAGTAGGTTGCCACATCTAGCTGCAAGGGAGACTGAGAAACGAGGTCGTCCCATGCTGGGGATCCGAGTGGTCACACGTGAACTTGGTCTCTGGTTAAGGCCCAGCCATATCTTACAGTGGTCTGGTCACTCACTGGACAGGCATCAATGTGTGACTAGTTCATTGCTACAACACAAGCAGGAAACCGTTGAATTGAATGCATGAAATATTATGTGGTTAACAGTTCAAATAAAAAGAGGCTTCCTTTTGGAGACTAAACTATTACAGAGAAATGAGAATTTTTTTATTTTCTTTTTTTAAGTAAGTTCTATGCCCAAGTGGGATTTGAACTCACGACACCAAGATCAAGAGTCACATGTTCTACTGACTGAGCCAGCCAGGCGCCCCTGAGAAATGAGGATGGTTTTTTTTTTTATTTTTTTATTGTTATGTTAATCCCATACATTACATCATTAGTTTTTGATGTAGTGTTCCATGATTCATTGTGCATAACACCCAGTGCTCCATGCAGAACGTGCCCTCCTCAATACTCATCACCAGGCTAACCCAACCTCCCACCCCCCTCCCCTCTAGAACCCTCAGTTTGTTTTTCAGAGTCCATCCATTCTCATGGTTCCTCTACCCCTTCGATTTCTCCCCCTTCATTCTTCCCCTCCTGCTATCTTCTTTTTTTTTTTTCTTAACATATATTGCATTATTTGTTTCAGAGGTACAGATATGAGATTCAACAGTCTTGCACAATTCACAGAGCTTACCAGAGCCCATACCCTCCCCAGTGTCTATCACCCAGTCACCCTATCCCTCCCACCCCACCCCCACTCCAGCAACCCTCAGTTTGTTTCCTGCGATTAAGAATTCCTCATATCAGTGAGGTCATATGATACATGTCTTTCTCTGTTTGACTTATTTCGCTCAGCATAATACCCTCCAGTTCCATCCATGTCATTGCAAATGGCAAGATCTCATTCCTTTTGATGGCTGCATAATATTCCATTGTATATATATACCACTTCTTCTTTATCCATTCATCTGTCAATGGACATCTTGGCTCTTTCCATAGTTTGGCTATTGTGGACATTGCTGCTATAAACATCAGGGTGCACGTACCCTTTCGGATCCCTACTTTTGTATCTTTGGGGTAAATACCCAGTAGTGCAATTGCTGGATCATATGGTAGCTCTATTTTCAACTTTTTGAGGAACCTCCATACTGTTTTCCAGAGTGGCTGCACCAGCTTGCTTTCCCACAAACAGTGTAGGAGGGTTCCCCTTTCTCCGCATCCCCACCATCTGTCATTTCCTGACTTGTAAATTTTAGCCATTCTGACTGGTATGAGGTGGTATCTCATTGAGGTTTTGATTTGGATTTCCCTGATGCTGAGCGATATTGAGCACTTTCTCATGTGTCTGTTGGCCATTTGGGTGTCTTCTTTGGAAAAATGTCTTTTCATGTCTTCTGCCCATTTCTTGATTGGATTCTTTGTTCTTTGGGTGTTGAGTTTGATGAGTGCTTTATAGATTTTGGATACTAGCCCTTTATCTGATATGTCATTTGCAAATATCTTCTCCCATTCTGTCGGTTGTCTTTTGGTTTTGTTGACTGTTTCCTTTGCTTTGCAAAAGCTTTTTATCTTGATGAAGTCCCAATAGTTCATTTTTGCCCTTGCTTCCCTTGCCTTTTGCGATGTTTCTAGGAAGAAGTTGCTGTGGCTGAAGTCAAAGAGGTTGCTGCCTGTGTTCTCCTTTAGGATTTTGATGGACTCCTGTCTCACATGGAGGTCTTTCAACCATTTGGAGTCTATTTTTGTGTGTGGTGTAAGGAAATGGTCCAGTTTCATTCTTCTGCATGTGGCTATCCAATTTTCCCAATACCATTTGTTGAAGAGACTGTCTTTTTTCCATTGGATATTCTTTCCTGCTTTGTCAAAGATTAGTTGAGGGTCCATTTCTGGGCTCTCTATTCTGTTCCATTGATCTGTGTGTCTGTTTTTGTGCCAGTACCATACTGTCTTGATGATGATAGCTTTGTAATAGAGCTGGAAGTCCGGAATTGTGATGCCGCCAGCTTTGTTTTTCTTTTTCAACATTCCTCTGGCTATTCGGGGTCTTTTCTGGTTCCATACAAATTTTACGATTACTTGTTCCATTTCTTTGAAAAAAGTGGATGGTATTTTGATGGAGATTGCACTGAATGTGTAGATTGCTCTAGGTAGCATTGACATCTTCACAATATTTGCTCTTCCAATCCATGAGCATGGAACGTTTTTCCATTTCTTTGTGTCTTCCTCAATTTCTTTCATGAGTATTTTATAGTTTTCTGAGTTCAGATCCTTTGCCTCTTTGGTTAGATTTATGCCTAGGTATCTTATGGTTTTGGGTGCAATTGTAAATGGGATTGACTCCTTAATTTCTTTCTTCTGTCTTGTTGGTATATAGGAATGCCACTGACTTCTGTGCATTGATTTTATATCCTGCCACTTTACTGAATTCTTGTATGAGTTCTAGCAGTTTTGGGGTGGAGTCTTTTGAGTTTTCCACATAAAGTATCATATCATCTACAAAGAGTGAGAGTTTGACTTCTTCTTTGCCGATTTGGATGCCTTTGATTTCTTTTTGTTGTCTGATTGCTGTGGCTAGGACTTGTAATACTATGTTGAATAGCAGTGGTGATAGTGGACATCCCTGCCGCATTCCTGACCTTAGGGAGAAAGCTCTCAGTTTTTCCCCATTGAGAATGATATTTGCTGTAGGTTTTTCATAGATGGCTTTTATGATATTGAGGTATGTGCCCTCTATGCCTATACTCTGAAGAGTTTTGATCAAGAAAGGATGCTGTACTTTGTCAAATGCTTTTTCTGCATCTATTGAGAGGATCATATGGTTCTTGTTCTTTCTTTTGTTAATGTATTGTATCATGTTGATGGATTTGCGGATGTTGAACCAACCTTGCAGCTGAGGGATAAATCCCACTTGGTCATGGTGAATAATCCTTTTAATGTACTGTTGGATCCTGTTGGCTAGTATTTTGGTGAGAATTTTTGCATCCATGTTCATCAGGGATATTGGTCTGTAGTTCTCCTTTTTGATGGGGTCTTTGTCTGGTTTGGGGATCAAGGTAATGGTGGCCTCATAAAATGAGTTTGGAAGTTTTCCTTCCATTTCTATTTTTTGGAACAGTTTCAGAAGAATAGGTATTAATTCTTCTTTAAATGTTTGGTAGAATTCCCCTGGGAAGCCATTTGGCCCTGGGCTTTTGTTTGTTGGGAGATTTTTGATGACTGCTTCAATTTCCTTAGTGGTTATAGGTCTGTTCAGGTTTTCTATTTCTTCCTGGTTCAGTTTTGATAGTTGCGACATCTCTAGGAATGCATCCATTTCTTCCAGGTTATCTAATTTGCTGGCATAGAGTTGCTCATAATATGTTCTTATAATTGTTTGTATTTCTTTGGTGTTGGTTGTGATCTCTCCTCTTTCATTCATGATTTTGTTGATTTGGGTCATTTTTCTTTTTGATAAGTCTGGCCAGGGGTTTATCAATCTTGTTAATTCTTTCAAAGAACCAGCTCCTAGTTTCGTTGATCTGTTCTACTGTTCTTTTAGTTTCTATTTCATTGATTTCTGCTCTGATCTTTATTATTTCTCTTCTCCTGCTGGGTTTAGGCTTTATTTGCTGTTCTTTCTCCAGCTCCTTTAGGTGTAGGGTTAGGTTGTGTACTTGAGACCTTTCTTGTTTCTTGAGAAAGGCTTGTATTGCTATATACTTTCCTCTTAGGACTGCCTTTGCTGCATCCCAAAGATTTTGAATAGTTGTGTTTTCATTATCATTGATTTCCATGAATTTTTTTAATTCTTCTTTAATTTCCTGGTTGACCCAT